TTAAAATCTGCTGTGAACACAGTCGCTGTTAACCATTTCTAAATATTCTCATACGTAAGAACTAGAAACGGTAGCAATACCAGAAATCTCTCTGAATTATCTGCTGAGAAGTATGCAAAAAAAATATTATTTTTTGCATATATAAATTTTTTCTTGACGTAACAAAACTTTGTGAACTAAGTTTATGAACTCTGTAAAAAAAAATTTAGTTTTTTAGTTCCAAAAAATCACCAGTTTTGTTAACAAATTTCTGAATTAAAATCTGATAAAAATCTAATTAAAAATGAAAAAAATGGAGAAAATAAAAAATATCCAATAACTTTGAGATATAATATCTCGTGAATTACGAATTCAATCTGAATGAAAATAGTAACATTTGATTCATCTAGACTTGGCAAATCGAATAGTAGTATTTTTGTCCAAATTGGATTTGTGATTCATGAAATATCACGTCCCAAAGTTACTGGACATTTTTTTTATTTTCCTCATTTTTTTAAAAATGAATTAATATCTTATCACTCACTTAACCAAATTGGATAAAAATAAAGCTATATATTTACTGAGATTTAGTGAAATTTGGCCTGGTGGATTATGATATATCATGCTTCAAATTAAGTGTTCCAAATTAAAATAAGTTTTTTTCAAAAAATCAAAATTAATTCAACAACTTTGAAACATGATATCTTTTGAATTACCAAACCATTTTTGTAAAAATTACTATCATTGAATTCATCAAAACTAGGTGAATTTAATGATAGTGTGTTTGGAAATAATGTATTTATTTTAATTTTAAATCAAAAAATCAAAAAAATTGATCCAGTAATTTTGAAACGCAATATCTTGCAATTCACTAATTCAATCCAAACAAAAAATATCACCATTCGATTTGCCAAGATTAGACAAATCAAATAGTGGTATTTTTATCCGGATTGGAATAGTGATTCGCGAGATATCACATTCCAAAGTTTCCAGATTTTTAATCAGATTTTAATTCAGAAATTTGTTAACAAAACTGGCAATTTTCTGGAACTAAAAAACTGGATTTTTCCTGATTTTTGTCTTTCTTTTTTTTTACAAGAAAGTGGAATCACATGAATTTTTTATTTTAAATGCAAATATATAGTATATAAAATTATTTTTGAAAATAATATCTGAGATTGACTTATTTAGATAAAAAATATCAGACTTATAATTGAAAATACTGAATTTAAAACCAAGTATAATAAGAATAAGAATAAGATTACAAAGTTAAGAGCTGAACTCAGAAATAAAATCAAAGAATTAGAAAAAGCTAGAATAAATATTGTTACTAAGAATATTAAGCATGATATTGAAAATGCCAGACATAATACTGAAAATGTTAAGTTTAAGACTAAAGTTACAAAATTAGAAGAAGATTCTAAATATCTATAAAAAGATTTCTCTTCAGAAAAACTTATTGACATATCAAACTTCATAATAGCAAATGAAATAGTATCTGCTAATTCAAAGTCATTAAAGAAAGAGATCATAAATTTTTTTCTGGATGAGATGAATAAGAAAAAAGTTAGTAATAAAATTAGACAGAGAAAATGGTAGAAGAAGCTTGCAAAAGTGAAAACTATTTCTCCTAAAAAAAATAAGTAAATATTAATTGACAAAAAGAATGCTTTATAAAAAAAACAAAGGGAAAAATTTATTCAGAAGTATCTGAGAGAATGATCACTAAAGTAATCTCAAATAATTTGATATCTTTAGTATCTTCTCAAAAAAAATTAGATTCAAGTATTAATTATTCTAATATTATAGATAAGCCAGACTCAAATTCTTTGAATATTTGTCTAGAACAAATAATATGAAGTTATGATTTCTTAGCAGAAGAAATAAAAATATTAATCTTTTCTTTTTTTGTATGAAAAACTTTGTGATACTGTAATTTTTATTGATTATAAATCCAAGAAGTTATCTTTTATTACTGTTAATTTGGAAAAGCTCTTATTCAAAAATGAGATAAAATTATATCTAAAAGACAAATTAATTCAAAATCTAATAATGTTAGTAAAATTTTAAATAGAAAAGTTAGATTTTAGCTTTCTACAGATACTTCTGATATACTTTTATAAAAAAGAATCAAGCAGATCAAGAAGCTTTATATACTTTTTAATATAATAGATATGAATAAAATAAATCAAATTTATTCCTTTTTTGCTGATTCTATCTCAAAAATAATGTATAAAAACATCTGATTTATTATAGATAATATGCTCTTTGATTATAGTATTCATATAAAGACACAACTTTGTGAACTGAGTTCACAAAGTAATAAGAAAAATTCTAACTTATTATATATTATCAATTTGAATATGTCTACTAAATTTCAGATTTTCAATGAATTTACTTTGAAAAAATTTGATACCAAAATAGAGGTGATATCACCTATTTTTCAATCCAATAGTTCAACTTATAATTACAGCTATTTTTTATTTTATTTAGAGAATTTAGTAGTGAAAGTTTTAATTATTATAAAATTACTAATGAGATATTATACTCATTATGCAAGTTAGATCATGATGATAAGAAAAATATAAAAGGTAAATATAAAGCTATATCTTATTTTATTAAATATGAACAATGTGAAATTGAGATAACTACATAGTCTTGTTATTTTATTTGCTTACGCTTCATTATAATATTTTTTTTAATACTAATTTATATCAATTATTACCTAATTTAAATTGATTTGTAATTATAGAAAAAAGGAAACATGAGTGAATTCAATAAAATATTAACTTCCAAATATCTGGATTGGCATGCCAAATTAAGTGGATTACTAAGTGTTTTAACGGATAAGATTCGATCCAGCTTATACAAAAAATATAAAAAAAAACTGAACATGAGCTATGGCAATTATCAGAAGATTGCCTTCTCATAAATTCGAAGACAGAAAACAAAGTATCCTATTTATCTTTTTCTGAGCAATGTGAAAAAAAAGAACCTATCTCTTTCATAATCCTGAATTATTTATCAGATCCGTGTTAGAGCATTTCACATATCTGAAATTCCGAAATAGTTTTAGAGAAACTGATAGTTATAATTTTGCATTTGCTCAGTCGTGAAGCTCACCATGTTCTATTTGCGATGGAAAACATGGAAATTATGAATTACAGGGTTCATGATATAGAAATGGAACGGAATATTGTCTTAGCTGTAACTCTTCAAGCACTAAATTCAAGTTCGCGATTGTAGCATAATCATGTGATACTGCGCCAAACATTGAGAATTCGGCACGTGAAGATGATGTACTGCGCAAGACTTGCTGTGACGAGATTCATGTGAATAATTTCACTGCGCCTATTATACGCGTGATGATTGTCAAAGATTTTCTCGGCGAAGATCAAAAATGCCGATACATAGCAAGAAGAGTAATATACCCGTTTTATTTTGGAACATCTATAGAGTCGGAAAATTCGATTAACATCATGATGACATGTCAAGAGGCTAACCGAACAATAAACAAGCATACCTTATTATTTGCAAAATATATGAGTTCGTTTGATTGATGATATTGTCGATGTTAATAGTGGTAGGTTTAAAATTTTATTAGATTTTTCGTTTGATTTTTTGCTTATATTTGCACAAGGCGGATAAATTGATTCACTAACTAGGCATTACCTTTTTATATAATTCGCAGTGGGCCTAAGATCTTTAGGGGAAATTTTCGTTAATACGACAAATCACCAAAAATGGAATATTAATTAGTGATTACATGAAAAATTTCCGTGACAATTGAGTCGATCTGTTACCCCCAATTTCCATTTTCGTGCCATTCTAGCATCATGATCAGGGACACTCGCAAATCATTAATTCATGAAAAGCTGTGAGATAAATTATTTAGGGAAAAAAAATGTATGATGATACACGGTTTATTAATAGAACATTAAAAATAGATGCACTACATACAGTTAGCATTAGATCAATACAAAGGAGTAGCCAATTTTTAAACAAATGGGACAATGCCCGTGATACACTGTATAATGTTTTATACTAATGACTGCGGACTTTATTTTTTCGTGCAATAACCCTCTATTCTAACATGCTTACTCGAAGAAATTATAACACTTTGGTTTTGAAAAAATTACACATGTAAATCTTGCATCACACAGCCCAGGCAAGAATATCAACTGCGCATCGATTTCGTACTGATGATAAAAAAATTATGCGTCAAATTTCTTAAAAATCAAGGCGGATTGAATATTCTGTAACGGTAAGTGTGAATCGTTAACTTTACATTACTTTTTTACCATCAGTTGCTTATCTCCCGATTTATGTTGTAGATTCGAAATTATTCAGGAAACTTCTCTTGCGGAACTTAGCTAAAATCGAAAATTTATATATAATCTGTGTGTTTAGAAGTGATTTATATTAGTGGGGATCTTGTAAACATAGTTTATTTCGTATTTGTAGAAAATGGAATCTTGTAGTTAGCAATAGTGATAGGAAAAAAACAATTAGTATAGAAAAAGTCTGAGAGAGCAAAGAAATAACATGAAGCTGGGACTCGCATTAAATGGCCTAGGATCCGCGTACTCCCTCCCTCTTTGATCATACATTTCGCTCGCTACCTCTGATTATTTATGTATCTGAAAAAATCAATAAAATTCAACCTACTTTAGGCTATATATGCAAAAATTCCATATGCACGAATGACGTCGGATGTTATGATGTTATGAATCAATTTTTTTTTTACACCAACACAATCTTAATACGTAGTCATGTCCAACGTACATAAATATTTCGATCGTGTCTCTGAAGAATGGGAAATTCGAGATTTTCTGATGAATTGTGATATAGAACCGTTTGAACAAAAAATCGATTGTTACACTAAAAGTCTCGAAGAAATTGCTAAGAATGAGGGAGGCAGTAGGGAAAAAAAGGCGCAACTACTGCTCAATAGATACAAGAAGAATGCGAGTATAAGTGTTTTTTGAACCTTTTATGTTAGAAATGTAAAATTTTATGCAATTAGGCGAGGGTGATCTTCTAGCTCGTTCTGTTCTGTTCTTGATACTGGCCTTGTTAGGGCGCAGGCGACTTTCTAGGTCGTTAGGGCGACTTTCTAGGTCGTTAGAGCGACTTTCTAGGTCGTTCGGTCCTGTTCTGCGTTCAAGTTTCTAGCTTACCTAACACTGGCCCCGCTGGGGCATTGACGACTTTCTAGGTCGTTCTAGTGTCTAAAGGCTTCTAGCTGATCCAGCGGATATTGTTCCTATATATTAGGGTAATGGAAACGACCGTCAAGTTGCAAAAAGTTGGAACAATGAAAGATCTCATAGCAAGGTATATCTCCACCAACCAACAATTACCTGTGAGAATATCAGCGGGTTTAACGGGCATATAAATATGAACAAAAATGGAATTTTCGCTTCTGGATCAACTATATCCAAAAGGGATCGTGAAGAAGTATGCATTTATTTTATTTAGAAGTTTAGAATTGACAGAACGGTGATTGTCTGATAGAAATTAACTCTTTCTTCATGTATTTAGTCCGATGATGATGATTTCCAACCTGATCCTGTCCGTCAACAAAAGCGGAAAAAAATCTATCGCTATCAAAGGTTAGGATATAATAATAAAGTTTTTGATATAAAATTTTTTATGCGAGCATTTTCTACTATTTGTTGCGTGAACAGGCCAAAACTACAAAGAATACGTCATCATCACTACCAAAAGCAGTACCAGGAGTGTCACCAGGAAGTGGAAATCTTATTCTTAATGTAAGAATTATACTTGATAATTGGTATTTTTTTTCGTATTTTAAAAATGATATCCCAATATTAATATTCCTCCACCACTTGCTACTCCATGACTCCTATGCACAGGATCAACAACCACAAACTTCTGATCCGTTAGATCTGTCTTTGAAGAAGACAATCAACGGCCAAGAAGAAGTGAATGAGAAGATCAATGATTATGTAGAAGTGGAGGAAAATGCCGGAGATCAATTTGTAGAACGGATAGAAGATCATAAACCAACGCCAAAAACATGTCGATCGTGGATCATCCGGAGTGGTACTAACGTTGGAGAGACATTAGCAAGATATGTGGAAACCATTCCGGAGGCCCAAAAATGTTTAAAGTGAGTTTATTGAATTATCAAAGGCCAATGAATTTTGATGATATGTTTAATCATGGGATTTTCACTCGTAGTCTCGCTTATTGGAACATACTTGATCTTACTGAGGATGGCCTAATAAGATCTTTTTTTTCAAAGAATGACTGGGAACAGATAACAGAAAGCTTCGAAAGGGAAGTTATTCTAATCGAATCAGATATACCGGATGTTGTGACATTTTTTTTCAATGAAGTAGAGAAGGTTGGTAAGGTTTTCTTGTTATAGCATTTTAAATATTGCTGACCAATCCATTTTTAGATAACAAAACAAGAAAACGCAAACATTGTTAAGGAAATCGAAAATTTATCTCCGGAATTAATTGAAAAGAATAATCATGTTGAGCTAACAAAAGAGGAGAAAGATATTGTTGACAGCATCAGACGTGCTATAATAACATAGTAAGTTAGTCAATGTAGGATTACTTTATATCTTTTGATTATTCATTTTCCAATTCTTGTCACAGTACAGAAAACCTAAAAGGACTCGAACTACCCATCTCAGAGAGCGATTTTGACAATGATTTTCCGAACATGTTGACAAAACGATTCTTAGAAAAACAAGATCTGAAAATGGATGTGTAAGTATAGACAGGAATACAGTCTGACCTTCATTCGATTAACCCATTATTCTTCCAATTTTTGTAGTGGTGAAATCGCCTGCTGGGCTTCTTCTCGACGCAGGAATGAAGGGCGTTCGATTGTCCTTCGCGCACGAATAGGCCAGAAATGTGATTTTCGGGGTACGTTAAAAAACAGTGTTAATAGTCTCGAAGCAATAATTGGGCTCAGAAGTGGGGGTCTACCGGTCACCCATCGCAAAAAGATTTTTGAGGATCGTATTGATCTTTTATATGATTTTTTCAAGTCTAATTCGCACGCACCTGGAGACGATCTCCACCGCACGTATGTTCTCGGAATCCAATCTTGGGGTAAGCAGACAAATATAATGATTAAATTTGAAAAGTTTAGTAACTAATATTTTTAGTTCTCATGCTAAGGGTGGGTTCACGAAACGTACGGGATGGACTGTAAGGCCACAAACGTATTACGCCTTGGAAGACTTTCCCAGACTAGGTTGCCAAACACCCAGAAATCGCTTGCAATTCTTGAAGGCTTTTATGCGATCATGTCAGATGTCAAGGTACTATACGCTCATTGTCATTGTAGTTGATATTATACAGCATCTCATTATCAGTTCATCTCATTTTAGGCCACGTTGAAGGCAATTTGCGATCATACAAACAATGTCTCACTTTCCAATTCACGTGCACATAGAGATCGCAAGAGGAAAAATTCAGCACATGATAAGCAACTTGGATCATTTGGCATACCTTCAGCAAGCCCAAAGAAGAAAAGTAAATTGCGTGATGATCTTTAAGTAGAATTATTGTATGAGAGTTAGTGAAAAGTTAAATTGCAGGAATAATTAGATATAATAGGATATAATAGAATAATGTAATTATGTATGGCTAGATTGATTGGCTATTTCCCGAACTTGTAATTATTTTTTACTTTATTGCTAACCAATATATTGTGATACGAAGCTTGGTTGATCTAAGATAACGAGATGATCTACTACAACTAATGAATCAGATTTTTTTTCCTGGGAAATTTCAGCCGGGGCCCCCGCCAAGATCGGAGTTAATATTTCTAGCAGATTTCCCAGATGTATCGCGGTTGTATCACAGTATTGATGCGTGAATTTATTAATAAATAAAGCTCAATGTATTTTTGCCGATCGTCGGAAATTACATGATTTATTATCCAGTTAATGCGATATATTTAATGTGGTTTATCTTAAATAGTATTACATATTTTCATAGTAATTTATGAAATCCATCAAATTGGTTAGACAATCATGTGTATGATTCCACCCCGAAATCTTTGATTGAGAGGTTGATTTTCATGAAATTCAAATTTTTTGCACAATGTATAAATATATAATGATGTTTAATCAGGTATATTCTGACTTACTAGCAAAATTATCAGCTTCCTTAATAAATGAGACATGGATACATCTCATATCACGAAAGTGTAATCCATTATCTGGGATAGAGACATGTAAAATTAATCCAATTAGAGTTATTTTTAAAACATGAAGTTAATAGATATCAGAAAAGATTAATGCATCAGAGATGAGCCCAAAGTTGGCCAGAGTGCCTGACATCATTATTATTCAAAGAAATATCAATTATATATGTAACAGATAATGGAGTTTAAACAGATAGTATCACCTATGATCATAAAGAAGAGAATAATCACCAGATTATAAATGAGCTTAATGTGCTATATTAACACCTACTTGATTATAATAGAAGAACTTTTGAAAAGTTCATGCAAGATATAGAAAAGGAATATAAAAAGTGGCTTAATACAAATAAGAAAATGCGCTATAAGATCAAAGATCTAAAGATGCAAGTGCAGGAGACGGAAAAGAGCTAGCATCTATAAAGTTAGATTTTATTCATTAATTGAGACACTTTTTTTCAAAACTTGATTCCAGCCAACACGAATTCTGTGTGAATACTTGTGAAATACAGTTAGATCAAAAATAATAAATTTTTGCTCACATAAATGCTTATCAATAATTTTAATCACACTATGTCAGTCATTAACATATTGACATATAATTCTGATTAGTTTGTCTGTAATATATAACCCATTAAATAAATAGACATGTGTGAGATTTTTCCATATTGTCACTATTTTATTTGAATTTCAAATATAATATATCTTTTTACATGTTCAACACGTGTTTCAAGTCAGACGAGAGTAAGGATGCTTGTCAAAATTCAGGAGTTTCAGCAATCTGTCAAGTTGAAATTATTAAATACTATTTCAACAAATAAAATTTAATTGTCAAAATGTCAAAATTCAAAGTTATGTCAAAATTCAAAGTTATGTCAAAATTCAAAGTCATACCAAAATTCAAAATCATATTAAAATTCAAAATTATACTAAAATTCAAAATTATATCAAATATAAAATAAAAAAATATATTATTATATATTAAATTTAAAAACTTTATTATAAATTAAAATTAATATTTAATAATTATTAAATTTAAATAAAAAATTTTACAAAAATATAAATAATATAAATTAAATCCATTTTCGTTGATTAAATCTTAATTGCATAAATTCACCAATTTCTTCCTTTTCTAATTCTTCTTCTTCATCTTCATTCTCATCTTCATTTTCATTTTTATTCTTATCTTCATCTTTTTTTATTGAAATTTTTAAAGCAGTTGCAGCATAAGAATCATTATCAATCTGATTTTGTCAATATTCAACATGAGCTGGATTTTCAGTTCCTTCTCTCCATTTTGTAATAGTTGTAACTGTTTTTTGTGACAAATTTTGAGATCAACCAACTTGATATCCATAAGAAAGAAAAGCTGTAATATTATGTTCATCTCTTTCTGGCCAACACCAAAAAGTATTTGTTGTCATTTCAATTTTAATACTCCATTTGGATAAGAAAAAATTACCACCTTCAAAATTATCTTTCTCAATTATTGATTGATTATTATTATTTTTTATTCCTCTTTTAATAATACAAGTAAATGCAAAATCCAAAATATTATAATTGACATGATTATATTTGATATAATTCAATGATGCATAAGCCTGACAAAGTTCAAAAGGAAAAGGTAATTGAATATTCTTGCCCATATAAGAAACTGTAAAATCTTTCTCCACTGCTCTATAATTATAACCATCAAGTCAAAGAAGTTGATAATTCTCAATAACTTGATTAATATTGCTGGTAACTTTAACAGGAAATAAATTCATTACATAATTGAAAAGTAGTGCATTGGCAGCAACTACCTTAGTCTCGTGTTCATATTGTAAATTAGATCCATGAAGCTTGTTTTTCAAGTTTAAAACATGAGTGAAAATTTCATATTGTCAGGTAACAAGATAACCAGTAGTAGTTAAATAATCTTGGTTGAGTGATTCAGCTTTTTGTCAATGTCACGATCAGATTCCTGGTAGGTATTATCATGACATAGATATTCAACCAACGTCTGATAACGGTATTTTTACGGTTACTCAATCTTGTTGTAATTAGTATACTTCAGAATCATCATGCAATGCATTTTCTTCTATCTTATAGATAGGTTCTCACTATTACTAATAGATGTTAGGTCTACTTAGTGTGGAATAGTCCTATAGCAATATAGTATTGATATTCTATAGCAACTTTGGTGGTTATCCAATAATGTGCAATAAATGCAAGTATTTTAATAAGTTATTATTTTAATCAATTAAGTGTACAAATTTCATTAACAATAAACAAG